ATATTTTGATGTTTCTTGGAAAAATTACATTATATCGGGTTTTGCAAATCAGCCAGTAATTAATCATCATTCATTCTACATAGACAGATATAATTATGTATATATTTTGCTAAATGATTATCCATAAGCAGAGTTGATTTAAATAAGCTTTAATTGGGCAGATAACAAACGATTTATAATTAAAATGTTTGATTAAAATGGCATATAAATGGCATTATCGGGTGGAAGTTTCTATTTCAATGAATAATTTGATCTTTTATAAATGGCATTATTTTTTTAAGCTGGCTCCAAAGCATATGCTGGTCTCTCTATTAAAGGATTGTATTCTGATTAGTCTGAATAGACACTATCTGCTTTTTTATATACATACGAAGCTGATAGTCCCTATGATATTTCTAATGATCAATTGTTTTAAAAATAATATGAAGACTGTCCACTACTAAGATGCTATAAAAATCAAACTAATACTGCCTTAACCATTTATCATTTGAACTCTTCAGGACTGATAGAGAGTTCATAGACTATGTAAGCTTTATTCAAGTATAAATTTATGTTAATATAGTTTGATAAAATTATATGACTAATGTTTGGATGTTAAATAGTTTTCCTCTCCAAGAGTATATGTAATGCTAAAGAATTCAACAGCCATATTTGTAGCGAAGATTGACTATGATAATTTAAATGCAATAATCTCTGACTTTTCTTACATAGCTAAGCAAACTTCAAAATTAAGCAGTGGGTTTATTACTGAATCTGAAGCATCTTATGTAGTGGGTGGCTTAGATTTCTTAACTCAAAACACATATGTTCGTAGATTCAAGCAATTTACTGGTTTTATATTTAGCAATGCATATGATTTAGGTGTTCTGAAAATGAATACCGATTTATAAATTAAATAGTTAGAACTAATAAATCTTGGATAAATAAATATGGTAAAGCCAGTAGAGAGTATAAACTTATATTACATCGATTTCAATTTTGAAGACTATCCATAAATTGATTGGGTTCTAAGCGACTATAATTTCGATATCTAGATTACTGAGAGGTAATTTATTCTTAATTTCAACTATGGAATTTATAATCCTCCAAAATTAAATATGCTAACTCCCTACCAAATTCTATCCAGGATAGAATGTGAAGGCTATGATCCAGTTGTATATGAGGCTTATTTTTATTAGAATAATTCATTAATCCCATCTACTTTTGGAATGGGTTCTATCATCTTTTATCCGAATAATTTCAGTATAACTGTTTACTCAGACTAGCCTAATGAAAGTGGCTTATATGATATAATAATTTTTGGATCATATGGAGGAATGACTATAAACAAGACATTTTACATAAGATTAGTTAATCCTTGTCTAGGACTAACACTTACTCCTGATCCTTAAAATCAAAATGCTTTCTCTTTATAATACTTCGTTACT